ATGAACTATTTGTCTGGGCTAGCCTCAAACCATGATCCTCCTAATTTCAGTCTTCCAAGTAGCTAGGATTACGGGTGTGAGCCACTGATGCCTAGCTCAAGAAATTAATTTTTTAAAAAGCAAAAAAAAAAAAAAAATCAAATATCCATGACGAATAAAACAAAAGTTATTTCCTTGGAAAGATGTTGGCAGAAAGGCCCATGTTGATGACATCTGCAATGGAACTCACTTGGACACCATCCCTCCACACCCACTGTTTGAGTGGATTTTCGCACTGTGTCAGTAAACACATTTTCTCCAGGAGCTTGATGGTGCATTGTACGGCCTGCCTCTCGCCTCTCTCTCTCACACAGGAGGCTCATTCTGCACTATAAGTTCAGTCTAACTTTCCTTCTTTTGTTGGGGCTCCCAAGGGCCCTCAAGTTCACTGATTCACTAAAAGGACTTACAGAACCCAGAAAAGCTGTTTTACTTGTGGTTTTTTGCAGAGAAGTGTGTAATACACATCTGGTGTTACTTTGTGCTATTATCAGCACAATGGAAGATCGTGCTTCTCCATCCTATTGACTTCCTCCTGTCCATGTGATTTGCTTTGGACATGAATGTGAGCTGAGTGACATACTCCCCATTCAGACTGTGAGAGCCACTGTGGCTTCCTGCTGCCTGCCAGAGAGGGTGGCACCTTCAGCCTGGGTCCCCAGCCAAGCTGATTCACTGCTCACACAAGTGAGAAACAATATTTTGTGGTTATGACAGTCTGAGATTTGGGAGTTTTGCTATGGCAACACAAACCTGAAAGTGCTGATGTATCTAACACCATGTACACAGGCAGTTTATGTGGTGGGACGTGGGCAGCTGTGACTCCTTTCCTCGTGGACTCACACCCCTGCTGCTTCCCAGGAGAGGTGTGTGGACCAGCTCTCTGCACAGCTGCCACCCACATGGAGCCTCTCCAAGGAGACTGAGGACAAGATGTCCAGAAAGGGGTTTGCTCATGGGCTCTGCCCCTTTTGTGCTGCCTGTCACTGCGACTGGTTACACAGAAAGGGCAGGGCTGCCTAAGTCACCTGAGATGACTATAGTTGTAACCACCCAACATGGTTTCTTATCTGCCAGCTCTTGCCTCCCCTATCACACGCATGCACACCTGCCACACCATATACCAGCCACACACATATAACACACACCCAACCACATACCATACACACACACTGTGCACACAGCCCCAGAAAATATGAGAACTCCAAATGCAGCAAAAAATGAGCAAGGAAGAAATACATTTACTGAAACACCGGAGAAAATACTTGAAAAGAGATTCCCAGAACTTCGAGTTTTCCAGTTACGTGAATCTAAGTTTGGGATAAGGGATTCCAAATTTGGGTCTGCATTATAGATCCTCCATGGCTGCTGTGTATCTTGGGTAAGGCTCGAATTACTTTTCGATATGCTGAAACGCTAACATTCCTGGGAGTCCTGGGTGAACTGGGAGAAACTTTGAGGCTGTGGAAACTGGTCAGGAGTACTTGCCTGAGCAGGAAACCCTTCCCCCAGGCCTTGGGGTCCAGTGAAGCTAGAGCAAAAGATCAGAGATCCTGAGGGTTCCCTAGCCTCTGGATCTGTACCACCAGAGGCCAGAGATGAGGCTGGCCTCATTGGTACACACCCTAGACAGCCAGATAGGGCCCCCACACAGATGGGTCTCACACGTGGCTTAATGTTCTGCTGTTGTCTTCTTGAAATGCTTAATTTTGGAATAAAGATTCTGCTTTTGCATTCTGCATTGGGCCCTGAAAACAAGCTGTCTCATCCAGAGAGGCCAGGATGACACTCACGCTGTCCACAGGAAACGAGTTCTTGGTAAAGGGGAGACCTGGAAAATCTAGATGGCAGTGGCCCAATCTTGCTGCTGTTCTGGGCCATCTGTGGTTAGAGAAGGCCAGATCTTGTCCACTGCGGGTAACAGGATGGGTCTATCTTCACAGGGAACAGAAATGCAAATGTGGTTATTGGGATGAACTTGGGCAGACCTTTTTGTATTGGCCACGTGGTGCTCTCACTTCCCCCATTTCTGAGCATAGAAGAGGCCAGAGAGGAGAACAGAGAGGTGCCCAAGGAGTGGAAGAGGGGTTCAGGGCAGTTGAGCCTCTGTGACAGCCCTGCCAGAGAGGTGATGGCCCAGAGACCTAGGCCATCACCTAGGCAATGTTGCTGCTTCTCTGTGTTCCAGGTGAGTGGGGCGACTGCAGGGGGATCTGTTGTGGTGGTCAGAGTGAGGACAGGTTGGGAAGGAGTGAGGGAAAAAATTAGACAGGATGGGGACAGACTGCACATTCATCCTGTTTCCTACTGGGATAGGATGAGGATGAAAGTCTCCCCTAACAATAAGGCCCAGAGAAAACCCAGTCACTTAACCATCATCACCATCACTGCTAAGATCAGGAAAAGCTGAGCAAAAACCAATACTTAATTGCTTCATCAGAGGGAAGAAGAAGGGAATCAGAAACTCATACTTAGTTGGGTAATCACTGCATTACATTTGTTTCTGTTATCCAATTAATCCTTATTGCAACCCTTATTAAAACAAGAGGCACAGTGGAGCATACCTACAATCCCAGCACTAGGTAAGCTGAAACAGGATGCTGGAGAGTTTGAGGCCAGGCTGGCCTGCATAGCGAGACCCCATCTCAAAAAAAAACCCCCCAAAACCAACTAATGAAAACAGCAACAAAACAAAATAAAAGACTGAGACTCAGAGGAGGGAATCAAAAAGGCACAGCCAAGATGCAAACCTACACACTTTTATTCCCAAGATCATCACTGTTTTTATAATGCACATCCATTACTGTTAAGCCCCCTCATCAAGATCCATTTATACATTTGGAGGCACAGAAGCAACCCCACCATGGGGACCCTGCATGTCCCAGCAGGTCTGGCCTGGTCCCGGGACTCTGCACAATGGGCCCAAGAATTTTGATAAATGATAGTGATGGAGAACAGTTACCATTTCTTTGCAAGGCTGGTAGCTTAGGAGCTTGCTGTGGGGTGGGGTGGAGGAAGGATAGGAAAAGTGCATTTTTCTCAGAGTCGGGGTTCAGCTGAATATCAGAGGGGAGCAGGAATGAGGCTCTGCAGTGGGACTCAGTGTGTCCCCATAATGTTTTCCCATCCAGACATGAGGAAATAGCCCCAGATCTTCAAGAGAAGCACTTAATGACCTGGACGAGCAAATGAGTTAGAGTCCTCTACTGAGCCTCCACACCAACCCCAACAGAAATGGAGAGGACAGCACTCCCAGAGCCTGAGCGCAGGACAGCAGATTGTACAGACAGGGTGCAGGATTCCTGCCCTGCTTTCCCCCAAGCCTGTGCCTGGGGGTCCCAGGCTGGGGGCAGTTGGCCTCCTAGGGCAAGTTTCCTCAGTCTGAGCACTGTTGATATTGAGGCCTGTTTGGGGAGCCAAGTGTTCTGTGCATTGTACTAGAATGTTTACCAGCATCCTGGCCTCTACCCACTAGATGTCCTTCTGAAGATGTGACCACCAAGAACATCTTCAGTCATTACCAAATGTTCCTTGGGAGGCTTGGGAGCCTTCCCTGCCTCCTACCCAGCCCATGAGAACCATGTGGTACAGGATGTTTCAGAGTGTTTGCTTTCTGAGAAATAAAGTGAGAAAATGTGAGATGGTGAAATGAAGACACAAAAGATAATAATAATAAAAAAACCAGCTAAACCTCACAATCTAAGGGTAACAATATTGTCTCGATAGATGGACGGACAGCTGAATGGACGGATGAATGGATGGATGGACAGATAATATAGATGACAGGAGACAGATTATAGCTACAATTATTTTTTAGGAGTTTGGTATTTTGCCCAAACTATTTTGCAATAAGCTTTTTGCCTTGAGTTAAGCCCTTTCCTGTCAAAAGATCAGATATCAGCTGCTCCTTTGAGTGTTGGAGGACACCTTGGGTGTTTAGGGCTGGGGTGGCTGCCTATAAAGAAAGCAGAGAGTTTATGCAGATGGGTTCTATTAATTTGGGGCTGAAGTTTCTAGAGCAGGTGGAGAAGGCTGAGAAGTGGGTCTGGAGGAGGCAAGGCAATGTCAAAATCTTGGAGGAATAAGGGGCTGTATCATGGCTCAAGCAGTAGAGTCCCTGTCTAGTAAGCAAAAGGGCCTGAATTCAAATCCCAGTACTGCAAAAAAAGATCTTTGAGAGGCAGAGGACCTGGAAACAAGGCCCAAAGCATCCCAAGACTGGTGCTGAGGAGTGGAGGAAGAGACCTCTGGTAGGTCATTATCATGATATGGGAGCCCTAAAGATGTTAGTGGACAGAAGTGTAACTGCAGAATGCTACTCCAAGAGGGAAAGCCAGGTGTGAATGTTCTTGAATCACGGCTGAGCAGAACCCATTTCTAAATTAGTCTCCCTTTATACTCCCATGACCAGTGCCCTTCTCCACTCTTGCCTGGCCCTATGATTAGGAGGCTTCATCTATATGGGCAGAGATTATAGTCTTGGCATCTACAGATGAATTGGAAAGGTGGCATAGCTAGGAGCCTATGGCCTCTTCTTTGCCCTCAATACTGGGCTTCATCTTGTTTTTCTTGATTCCTATCTTGTTTTCTCTTTCCTATTTATACATCCATCCTCCATCCTTCCATCCTTCCATCCTCCAGCCATCCATCCTTCCATCCTTCCATCCATCCATCCACCCATCCATCCGTGTTCCATATAAACATTTATTCAGAAAGTACCTAGCAACTTCATTCAATTCTTGATGATTGATGGGGACACGTGTCTCCTCTCAGGACTAAGGGACACAGAACCTGTTTGAGGTCACCAAAGTCTACCTCTACCCCTAGTATTCTAAGTTGGCTGGGCACACATAGGCTGGGCATGGTCTCTTGAGTCTCAGGATCCCATGTCAGACATCTGCTTAGATCTCCCCATGAAAACAGCCCTTAGCTGCCTGGTTCCCTATTCCTCCCTCCTCCAGCCTCAGTGAGACTCCTGGACTTCCAGAGGACCTGACACCAGAGGTCTTTCTGGTTCAAAATCTTCAGGATGAAGTAGGGAAGACTGATTTTCATTTTCCAGGCTCTCTGACCTTGACTTTGAGTGGTCCCAGTACCATGATGGGCATCCTGGGGAAATCTCTGACTACAGTATCACTACAAAGAGAAATTCAAGACTTTTAACAAATTTTGGTGCAGACAACCATGCTTGCCATTTTTGAATCAGATTGTGGAGACCACAGGATTTGAGCAAGAGGTGAAAAGTAGCCGAGTATCTATCATAGACTACCCTGGGAATCTCACCTTCACTGTGACCTTGGAGAACCTCACAGTAGAGGATGCAGGAAAATACTGGTGTGGGATTACAACAATCCTGAGGCAAGATGGTCTCATGGACACCCTGCTTTAATCTCACCTTCATGTCTGATCCCAACTTCCAGTTTGATCCCGACTTCCTGGTTAATTCCATCTTCAGGGTTCAAGTATTTGTTTGCCCAGGTAAATGCCTCTTTTCTCTGGCCCTAGGATAAAGAAATGTGAGCTCATCTCTGCAGAGCTTCCAAGGAAATTTCTGCACAGGAGAGAAGAATTGGACCTGGTGTTTGTGAATCAGATTCAGGACTGAGTGTGTTGTGTGAATGTGTGTGTGTCTGAGTGTGAGGGAAGGTGTGTAAGGAAAGCATGTGGGAGAACATGTGAGTGTGTGAAAGTGTGAGTTTGAGAGTGTGTAAGAGTGACAGTGTGAGTGTGCATGTGTGAGTGAGTGTATTGTGAAGGTGTGTGAGTACATGTATTGAGTTGTGAAAGTATGAGTACCTGTGTGAATGTATAAGAGTGAATGTATATGTGAGACTCTGTGTGTGTGTGTGTGGGTATACGGATACACTGGCTGGGGGGTTTGGTACCTCTTACACTGACCCTCAGTGCTCCTGTTTTCAGTGAGTTGGAGCACATTTACCTGCTTAATAGCGAGGGAGGTGGGTCTCTGGTCTTGGTTTATAAGTGGTGCGCCTGGCCCCAGAGCAGAGCATCTATTGGGATGGGGTTGGATGGAGATGCTCTATCACTCTGTCAGGCCTGGATCTGACTACAGGGAGACAATGATCCCAGAATACCTGTCCAGTTGTTTCCCTGAGTGCCCTCTGCTGTCTGAAGTCAGAACTACTCAGGTGTCAGGTACTCAGCTGGAGAAAGTCAGGGACTCTGTTCTTTACCCTCAGTGTCCACCACAGTCTTCAGTATAGAGAGCTGTACAGGGACACCTGGATCTCCCAGAACCAAGTCCAGCACAGGGTAAGGTGCACATGTCCCAGTGCCTTTCTACCACCTGCATAGGTTCTCTCCTGCCTAGACACAGGTTTTTTCAATTGTTCACTCACTTAACAAATATTTATTTGCTTTGTGTTATAAACTGATCCAGATTCTAAGTATACAAACAGCACGACAAGGTCATGCTCATAGGAAGTTGTATTCAAATTCATGGATTTAGAAAATGATCAAATGGATAAGTAGATAGGATAGATAGAGATGGATGGATGGATGAGTAGATGGATGGATGAACTGACAAATGATAGATGGTAGAGACAGAGTTATGTAATAGAGATAGACAGATGATAGATACATAGACAGATATGATACATGATAGAGATGGATAGATGGCTGGGTGGATGGATGGATGGATGGTGATGATAAATGATAGAGCTATATAGACATATGTAATAGGAATGGATAGAGGAAATGTGTCAACTAGTCAGCTAATGATAATTACTGTGGATGAACATAAAGTAGACAGGTGTCAGGGATAGAATGGTAGTGAAAATTATATTGGAGAGGATTAGGGATTTATCAACCAAGCCCTACCTGAGAGGGGCTGGGAGAACAGAGAGCACAAAGGCTCAATTTGGGAAGGGCACACAACTTTTGAAGAGCTGGAAGGGGCAGTGTATCAGGGTGAGAGGTTTGACCATGAAGAGAAGTCATTGGAGGTCATCGTTCAGGTTCTTGAATGGCAGAAAGGCCACTTTTGTGATCATATGTAAGGGCCAGTCAAGATGTTGAGTGAGGAGGGATCCTACAGGATTTTTTTTATTCTTCAAGTTGTTCCCAGCAAAAGCTGAGTTCCTTTGAGTATTGTTGACTAAGGAATGAAAACATAGGTTTGGAAAACTGTTTCTGAGCACCAGTCCCAGACTGGGTTCCTACGTCCCTTCTTCATTCCCCACTGCCACCTCAGCCTCCTGCATCTGCTGGGTCCTGACACTCAAGGTCAAATCCTGAGCTGAAGGGCAAGAGCTTATGGTACTCGGCTAGGGACTGCCTGACCCTGGCATCAACCAGGTTTGATACTGACTTTTTTTGGATTTTGAACTCAGGGCCCCAAACTTGGTAGGCAAGTACTTTACCACTTGAGCCATACTCCCTAACCCATTTTGCTTTAGTTATTTTTCAGATAGAGTCTCAAGTTTTTTGCCCAGGAGAGTTTCAGACTATGATCCACATACCCACTCCTCTTATATAACTGGGATTATAGATGTGAACCACCATGACTGGCTTGTTCTTTGAGGTAGGATCTTGCTCACACTTCCCTAGACTGGCCTTGAAGTGTGATCCTTTTATCTTTACCTCTTAAGTACCTAGAATTACAGGTGTGAGCCACTGCACCCAGCCCTGCTGTTGAGTTTTGAAGGTACAAGAGCAGAGTTAAAAGGAAGGTGGGGGAGAGCTGGCACCTGGGACTGAGGCAGCTCACTGCCAGTTAATTGCCCCTCTCACAGGTCCCTGTTCAGCAATGTCGACTTCCTGCTTCTCCTGTTCCTAAAGGTGCCCATATTTCTGGCTATGCTTGGTGTTGTGCTCTGGGTAAACAGGCCTCACAGGGCTCCTGTTGGGGAGGCAGTGTCAGCCTGACCAAGACTACCTGGTTCCCCGTGTCCACTGATACTCTGTCTCTCAGACTTAAAGAGCTTCTGAACTCCATTTTCATCTTCATCTTATTGCCACTTAAAAAAACTTTTTAAAATAAAATATATCTCATCCACAAAAGTGTGTACGTAACATAAGTGTATAGTTCAAGGATTGATCTTCCTAGAATAAACATGTGTGCCTGCCATTCAGCCTAAGAAATCAAAATTCATTAAGACTTTTGAGGCCTCCTTTGCCTCTCCCTGGCCTCATATCTCTTCTACTTTCAGGGTTTTAACCAATATCTTCTCTTTTGTTTTTGTTGGTAACCATTTTCTTGCTTTTCATGAGTGCTCTGAACAAGGGTGTGGTCAAGTCTCAAACATGGGAAATCATACTGGTCCAAGGCCACCCATTCACAAGCCATCTTGGCTTTGCAAATCTTCTGTCAGAAGATTGTGGGAAACTCCCCAAAAGGCCACAGATGTGAGAATCAAGGGAGATGCATAAGATATCAAGTGACTATGTGACTAAAACCACCCACCAGGAGCTAGGTAACATCACAGTCACCAAATTTTAGGTTGGCCAGGCACTTTACCTTTGCAAGGGCACAACAGCAAGCTGAGCAGCTCCTGGTTCAGAGGACATACCCTGACCCAGGACCCTGGGGATCTGCACAACTCTTCTATCGGGGGCTTACCAGAGATGCCACATGGCATCTTTATATTCCAGAGACATCTAGCACAATGGAATCAACCCGGTCAGATGGCCCAAGTGGCAGGGACACTCTTACTTCAGCCCAGATCTGCTGAAGAAGATTGTTGTACTTCAGGCCTCACTCAAAACTGGCAGCTTAAGTCACCTGATAAATGAGTCAGAGCAGTATTCCTGCATGTGGAATGTGCCAGCCCCCAAACTCAAACAGGTCCACTGAGCACTGTGTTTTATGCTTAGAGGATGGAGATGTCAAGCAAAGGAACTCACCCCAGACCATGGGATTGTAGAAATGGGATTCGTGGGACAGGGCCTATTTTCAGTACTTTTTACCACTGCTGTGACCAAATACCTGACAGAAACAACTTAAAGGAAGGAGGACTTCCTTGGCTCATCATTTCAGGAGGTTCAGTCCATGGTCATTTGGCCCCATGCATTTGGGTAGAAAATCATGATGGCGGGAGTGTATAGTGGAGTTTTTCACCTCATGGTGGACAGAAAGCAGAGCACAGAAGCTCACATCATGGCAGACCAGAAGCAAAGGAAAGGAATACAGAAAGAGCCAGGGCAAGATATAGACTCCAAGGACATGCCTCCAATGATCTTCTGCTCCACCTACTCTTTTCCACCTCCCCAAAATGTCATGATACTATGAATCCATGAAGAATTCATCCATTCATTACATCAGAACCCTCATGATTTAGTTATATCTGGAGACCTCCTCACAGACACACCCAGAGGTGTGCTTTACTGTTTTCCTAGGTTATTCTCAATCTAGTCAGGTTGAAAACCAAGGTTAACCATCATAGTGCCTTCCCCCCACTGGTGCACTTATGTCTTACCAGGACCTAGAGCAATTGCTTCTTCCTGTTCGTCCGTCATCAATAAAAGAAACTAGCGTGATGTTCTGTAGAGTGTCTATACAAAGTCCCTTTGGATTATATTGTGACAGTGTTGACTGGGGTTGGCTGTAAATGCATACTGTTATCCTTCCAGGGTAGATGTTGTGCTTCTGATCTTCCTTCTTTATAGGGGTGGGAAAGAATGTGTTTACCACATCAGTGGCAGCTCACCAAGACAAGGGCAGCTCTCTTAAAGACAGCACTTCAAGAGAAACATCAGCTGGAAGACTTGCTGGTGTGCATGGGTTTCTGGCCAAGACCCTTACCATGGAGAACTAACTGCAGCAGGTGGAGTGGGCCCCACTGTCATATCTGTGCCTTCTCAATGCCACCCCTGGGTCCCTTAAAAATTATCTACAGGCTCAGTGTGATTCCAGTTCCAGAACCAGTTCTGTTTTGGTAGGAAGGGAAGCAAAAGCCTAAGTTCCATCTGGAGGAGGCCACACAGCTCCTCACTCACTGGGCATCTGAGGACCCTAACATCTCATGTCCTGCACACCCAGAGTTCCAACACCTAGAATCTGTGCACCCAGTGCTCTTAGGTCTCTCCTTGGGTGAGTAATGTGAAGAGAATCTGCCTCATTTATCCTATCCTGCCCCAAATAGTGTAACCCCAAGTTCTAGTCTATTTCCCCAAAGACCCAAGATCCTCTTCCAAGAGGCCAAAGACTTTCCTTGAAGCCCAACCTGTTCAGAGGTATCTGGAAGGATCAGCGACAGGCCTGTTACTCATGTACAGAAACATTTCTGGTCCCAGCCTTGTAGGTGAGAACTAGTTGCCTTTTTTTTAATCCTTTTTCTTTTTCTTTTTTTGGAGCTGGGGACTGAACTCAGGACCTTGCACTTGCCAGGCAAGCACTCTTCCACTGAGCTAAATTCCCAAACCCCTTGTAGGTGAGAACTAAGGTAACAATCAGAACACAGGGTGACAGTTGTCCATGCCACTGGCAGATGACAATATCGGCATTTGCAGAGCCTCACTTTGGACTTCCCCTAACCTTTATTTTATTGGGGTAAGAACACTCAGCATGATAGTCACCCTCTTGACAAATCTTTAAGGGCCCAATGCAATGATGGTGGCTAGAAGCGTAATATTATACAGCACAGTTTTAGAAGGTATATGCTCGTTGATTAAGAAAATGGGGAAGAGGCTGGGATGTAGCTTGGTGATACAGCGCTTGCCTAGCATGCATGAGGCCCTGGGTTCGAGCCCAGCACCAAAAAAAGACAAGACAAAAAAGAAAAAGAAGATGGGGAGGAGCTTTGTACCTTCAAGGACTTATGAATAACTAATGGGGCTGCTTTTTTAGCTGTGGGGTCCCTCCTTCCTGATTCACACCCTGATCCTGGCTACTGTGCATAGTTGAACTAAACCCATTGTTTCTTGATGGATTCTCTGCAAGCTGAGTCTTACTGCCTACTTACTATACACTCCCTGAGCTGTCTGAGTAGGGCTCACCGTGTCTTCCTTGCAGTCAAGCAGACCTGGGCTAAGAAGAAACAGGTACGGGGCAGGGAGAGCAGGGCAAAAAGGTGGGTGGTAGGATCTATCTTGCAGTGTTCAGGTAGAGGTCTGTAGGACCATTTCCTCCTGGCTTAGAATCCATGAAGGACTTCAAAGTTAGTGATGTTCATGCAACCACAGGGCTGTGTGGACAGAAATGTTTATTTATCCTAAATAGTTATACATGTGTTTCATTCCTACCAAATCGCCAATGAAGTTTTAATACAATAATTGTCATTTGTATAACCAGTTAACTATACTTTATTGCTTATCAAAGAATTGATCTGTGAACCTCACACATTTAAAATATGCCGCAAATGTTGTGAACTATGTCTATGTAGAGAAAGTGAATGGAGCCATGAAAAGATACATGGCAATGTTTGATGAGTTACAGAGGAAAAAGACAGAGATCTGTGATTGAGTCAAGCAGAGGTGATCCCCAGGAAGGGCAATCAAGAATGCCTTTTAAGAAGGAGACATCTGAGATGAAAGCCAAAGGATAGGAAGCTACAAATGTGAGAAGACCCAGGGGAAGGGACTCAAGGAAAAGAAACAGTAGGTGCTTAAACTCTGAGTATGGACCACAGTTGTGGCTAGGACATAAGGATGAATTTGGGATGGAGCACAAGATGAAACTCAAGACCAGCCAGTGTCCTGGACCACCTGGGTAGTGTGGACCAAGCAAGGAGAGTGGGTTTGATGGGAAGGGCAGTGAACAAGGACAGGAATGTTACAGACTTTCAATAAAGGGCTCACTTGCTGAACTGAGAAGAAAAAGAAATGGTAAGGGGTGGGGATAATTAAGGCGAGATGTCACAGTAATATTAAGAGAAGAAAGGACTGTTTCAATGTCAAAAGAAAGAGAATGGCAGATTAAAATGATTTAAAAATTGCTGGGGGCTGAGGGAGAGAAGATAGAGGGCTGAGGGATTTGGACTGCAGCCCACAGGGTTTTGATGCCTTGTTTAAGAACAGATGACAGGGGAAAGGAAGAGATCTGAGTGTGAGGAGGGGAGAGAAAGAGGATAGGTCAAGTTTGTGCGTGACAAGGACGAAAGGCAGCAGCATAGCCCAGCAGAGACACAAAGCCTTCCCTGCACCTAGTCCTGTCTTCTTGACCTTTCCAGAGTAAATTGATTGTCTGCATCTGTCAAGAGAGCAGAACAAGCCACTCTCATGCAGACAGACCCTAGGCCAACATCCAGGAGACCTGTGCCCTGTCTCTGCTCCATGGAGAGGTTCCAGGTGGACAGTGGGGCCAGTGCTGTGACAAGCTGCCTTCTTTGTCAGAGGACAGCTTTCCTGTGTGTTCTGGGTGTGGGGACAGGGCCCTTCTCAGCCCCGCGCAATCTTAAAACTCCATTTCAGTTCTTCATGCCCCTCTCCATTCTCTGTGCCGACTCTTACAGGGGAATGGAGTTTGTTAAGAGAGCAAGAGCAGAATAAGGGTCTCAGATGGTGGGGATAGCTGCTGCATATCTACCTGTGTGAGCAGGGGTAAAAAGAATATAGCTGCAGCATGAGGGTTTGTCCCAGGGCTGGGAACTCAGCACCAAGAAGAGGCAACAGGAAAGGGGTCACAGTGCCAACTCTCCCAGCTGGGAAAAGCCAGAAGAGATGGGGACCAGGGAAACAGAGTTCTCACTGAGTGCCTGGAGCTCAGGTTGGGAGGGCATGACTCTCTGTGGTCATGGCCAGAGCTAGAAGAGAGTGGATGGGCCTGGGCTCCATTACAAAGATTGTCCATCTTGACCACAAGGAAGTGACTTATCACAGAGGGCGGGGAGGTCCCACCAAGGAGGAATTCAGCATCTGTGGGCCATGGGAAGGGCAGTATCCCATGCCCACAGGCCCTGGACTGTGAGAGGAGCCAATGGCACCAGGGC